GGCAGGGAGGACGCCCCACAACAGCCCACGGCCGGCTCAGCCCAGCCCGCAGCAGCACGGGCAGGAGATGGGGGGGTGGTGTCAACCCCCAGCAAACCTCAGTCGCTGCGCCAAGCACACGGGCCCACACCACCCAGGCCTTCCTCATCCTCATCCCCCCGGACACCAAGACGCACAGCCCTTCTCCCCGTAGAGAAGCCTCGCAGCCCAGAGACCCACTTCACCTGTGTTTGGTGAGTGAAGCACAATGCTGGCTGCACGCCATGGGTGGAGAGGGCTGCTTCGCTGCTCAACAGGTTCTTCCAACACAGACCGGTGGCCCAGGTGGTTTAAGGCTGGTACTACATAGAAAGCTCACCTGAGTCTATGGGAACCATTTCATTTAAATGGCTATTAAACATTTGCATTTGAGCCTGCATAGCTAAGTGGGAAGCCATAATTCCCGGGACCTGGTTGTCCATCACAGACCTTGGATCATCATGAGGTTAACTGCTCAGGCCCAAGGGCCACACACTGTTTGCTGTGAAAGGAGGAATCCAAGTTCAACGACCGGGCAGACTACACAAAGGAAAGAACTTTACACCCCAGCGACTCTGAGGTTTATCAGAGCCCAGCAGGAACACTAGGGTTACAGAGAGCTGGAGCTGTGCAACTCTGGCCTCAGGGATTGCTTCCAACTCAGCGGGCCAGAGAGCAGAACGGTTCAGTCTATCTTTGTTTTCTTTCCTTAAGAAAGCAGGCCCTCCTCCCTGCCACGGCCCTGAGCACACAGCAAGGAGAAACCAGTAAAACAGTGAGACCCTGCCAGTGCTGTGCACCTCCGTTCCCGAGGGACGGCTGCTCTCCCGAGAGCCCCTGGGATCAGCTTGCAGCCAGGCTCCTGGCCCGGGGCTGCTTTCCTGGGAGCTTGATTGCGTTGTACCTAGAGCCCATCTTCCCAGCAAGGTCCCCTGTTCCCTGATAAATAAATACAGTTCCAGTAATCTGGCTGCTCTGGGAAAGCAGAGATAAGCCCAGCTGACGCCGTCCCCATGTCATGCCTTACCACGGCCTCTCTGGAGGCAGGAGCAGCACCCTCGCCTAGGGTTCGCCCCGGCCCGCTGCTCTGCAGGGAGCTGCCTCCCCTCCTGCTCACGGCCCCTGCGATACCCAGGACGAGCGATGGCCACTGCCACAGGATCCACAGTGGGGTCAGTGTCCATCATCGCTCGGACTGAGAGGCTCTTTAGCCAATTGCCTCTCCATTGCTCTTTGAAAAAGTAGTGCTAGTCCCCTAGTTCCCAAAGAACAACCCCTCGGACAGTTCCTGCGCTGTCCCCGCTTGCAGAGCATCTCTCCACCTTGCCACACGTCTGCACGTGCATGCTCACACACAGCCTTTCACAGCAAGCTGTGCAACAAGCTGGCACACAACAAGCTGCCAGGGTGTTTGGGCTGTGTCCCTTTCCTCTGCCACAGATCTTTCCGCTCCTGGGGTAACTCACGAGGCTTGTGACTTCATCCCAAAAGCTGTCCGATCATCTCAGAAGGTGGCCTGCTGATGCAGCTTTTACCAAGACAGATATCGATTGGCACCTAGGTAAACCTCTTACACCTGAAGATGTAAAATGATCCCTTTTCTATAGGGGTAAGGGAAACGGGATTGGCAAGAGCAAATCTTTCTTGTTCACGCTACATACAAGCTCACGCGCTTTCCAACCCCTGCCCCAGCAGCCTCCTCCACCACCCAGCTGTTTCAGACCCTCTCAGTGCAGCATCCTTAGTCCCATACTTATCAACCCCCACAACAGGGGAACAAGCATGTTAATAATAGCCAAGGTGATCTATGTATTTCAGTATCCATCCCTGCCCCATCCATTCTGCTGTCCTTCAAAGCTCTTCTTTGCCTTCTGTGAAATACTGTCGCCAGTATCTCAGGACTTCCCTGACTGCCTTTCACCCCTCCACCCCCTCGCAAACGCTGCCCTGCTGTAACGAGACTAGCAGACCCAAGGGATGGGGGGCTCTGACAACGTGGACTCTTGCTAGCTCACTGCAGGGCGCGTCGCTATTACAGCCTCAAAGTTTTGTTCAGGAGCACGACAACTGTTCCAGTGATTCCCATCATCTGCAAAGAGCAGCAGAAGGCCGATAGGTTTCCCGTCAGGCCTGCCAGCTGGCACGGGCTTTGCAGAGGTGTTGTATTGCATCCCACCTCCATTGTTGGAGGAGCATACAGGCCCCTGAGTCACACACAAATGCCATCCAGAGAAAAACATGAGGGTTCCTGCCCCTTTCCAAACCCCTCCCTGGTCAGCGTCTCCTCCCGGCAATGCCGTCCTCCTGGGAGACTCGCCTTTGCTGTAGCTCTCCACCTAAGATACTGCCATTCTGCCAAGAGAA